GATTTGTCAAGCTTTAGGTATAATGTTAAACTTGGTCGAACACAACCCTGTAAAAGTGAACTCATATGTCATTGCACCTCATGAAGTTTTGAAAGAACTATTGAAACTTTTGACAGAGGCAGACGATATAAACATCAAAGAAATAGAACCCGACGTTAGTTGCTGTGGTGTTTCATATAATGTCATTGACAAGATATACGTTATGAAAGGAGGTGAAACGTTGAACTTAAAATATAGTTTCCCAGACGTTATAAAAATATTTGACGACCACAACATTTCATTAAAATTTATTTGCTAAGTAAAAATGTCAAAACTTCTTGAAAGATGTTTGAAGAAAAATAATATAGACTTTATTTCATGTAAAGGACTTTACACACTTTTGAACGATATGAAAGACCCTGTTTTGTTTGTTCGTGTAGACAAAGGAAAGTTCTATGTCTTTACAAAATATTTGAACTTCTTAGACAGAGAACTTCAAGAAACGCCATGTGAAAGTTTAGATGAAGTTCTTCTCCACTTTCAGAAAAACTTTTAAATATATATAAATGGCAGAAGATACAATGGTTTATACTATTACGACTAAAAACCCTGAGTCATATAATTCTATAACAACAAACTTACAAAGTCCTCAAGGACGATATTGTAAACTAACTTAAACACAATGACGACTAAAGCTTGTTTTGCTCTTTTGACACCAGAAGATTTTATTGTTGTGAATGGTAAAAAATACTCCTTTGAAGATACTTACTCAGATATACCACCAACAGGTTTTGTTGACTTATTTAATACTTTAAGGACGAGTGTAACATGTGCTGCAACTAGAGCAGGTTTCATTATGTTTGGATGTCCGACTGAGTTTACTATAAACAATATGAGCTATAATACAAAACTTATATCTGGTTTTTACTACCAACAGTTTCCTATAACAGGAAAAGGTGTCATACAAGGTTTGTCTTTCCATTGACTTTAAGTACACCTATTTTATATATTGTTTCAAACTTAGGTTCAAAGTGTTATTCGAATGTCGACAGAAACTACTATGACCAAAAGATACTTATGCGTATAAACAACACATTCTCTGCTGTTTGCCTATTGTTCATTCGAATGCAGAGTTTTCAGCTTAGTAAACTCAAACACTTTAGCAAACATAAACTTAACCTTAGTTGACGCAAACTTTGTTCCTGTAAAACTTTTATGTCCTATGTATTTGTCAATGACGGCAGAAAGTTTCGAATTGGAAGATGCAACTGGTGAAAGTATTGTACTAAAGAACAACTTCAACAACAAATAGCTCAAGAACAACAAATGCAACAAATAGCTCAAGAATAAAAAAAAATATTTTTTTTATTTTTATAAAAATGTACAGAATAGATGTTTCAGATTTTTATGACTTCCAAACGTTCAGAAATATGTGTCCATTTCGAGACTATAACAAAGCAGTCGAGAATTTGAAACGTTTAGTCATTTATGTCGACTCTGCCCCAGAATGTTATGTCATGAAAGAATGGGATGTTGTCTTTAACAAACCAAGAGCAACAATAGTTCAGAACAAGAATGTAGACAGAAACTTAAGAAAATAAAAGTCGTACAAGTTGGCATGAAGATGTTAGATGCTTGGGATATCTTATTGTCAAAGTTAGAAGATTTTTCAGTTCGTGGTATAAAGTTTTATACACCTTCTCCAAACTTCTATTCTATCTTCACTGGATATATAATACGAACAAGTAGAATGGAAAGAAAATATTAAGAAGCTTGGTTAGACCATGTCAAAGAAATTATATGCAATGGAAACGAAAAGGTTATGAGTATATCTTATGTTGGTTTGCAAACATCTTACAACATCCAAGTGCTAAAAATGAAACTGCTCTCATTATAATTGGAAAACAAGGAACAGGTAAGAACACATTCTTTACAGATATCTTATGCAAACTGTTAGAGGTATTCGAACCCTAATATGACAAACTTAGAAAACATCTGCGGTAAATTTAACTCTTCAATAGAGAATATGAAACTTATAGTATGTAACGAACTTCAAAGTATAGATACAACAAAAGTTTTGAACTCAGATGCTTTGAAGAGTCTTATAACAGACAAAGTTGGAGTTGTTGAAAGAAAATATAAAGACCAAAGAGTTTGTGAAAATGTTGCAAACTTCATTATGGTTTCAAACAATGCTGTTCCGATGAAGTTAGAAAGTTCTGACAGAAGATATGTAGTTGTCAGAACGTCAGAAGCTCATATGCAAGATACAGAATATTTTGACGACTTAGCAGAAACTTTGACATCTGACTTTTACAACCACTTGTTCTCATATTTTATGACATTAGATATTTCAAAGTTCAATCCAAGACAAATTCCACATACCGAAGAGAGACAAACATTGTTAGAAGCAAACAAGAGTGTATATGAACTGTTCATAGATGAAACTGACTTTGAGTGTTTAGATGAAAGGTCATTGTACGATTCGTATAAACAATATTGTCAAGAATATGGTTATATGACAGCGTCTAAACGAACATTCTTGGCAAATGTCAAAAGTCTTTTAGACGTACAGAATGGTGTATATACAAAGAAAAATTTTTCTGAGTAAATTTAAAAAAAAATATTTTTTTATCCGATAGAAAAGATGACGAAATTCATCTCAGTAAACAAGTACATGTCAGGACTTAAAGAAGAACTAGACCCATTCACATATTTGAATGTTTACTTCTACCATTTTGAAAAGTCTTCATTCAGCAAAGTTTGGAACATCGAACCAGTTAAGTTTGCTATTGTGACTAAAAATGGTGCGAAATTTGAAGACTTAGACATAGAAGGTTTGTTAACAGTCAAAGAAAGTTTTGACAGAAGGTTCTCAAACCTTAAAGAAGGCAAAGCATACAAACTTGTTATACCTTATGAACCAAAGAAAGCAGACGACTATGAATATTATGAGTCTAAAGTTGTAGAAGTTCAAGGTAAATTGGGTAAAAAGATTTTAGAGTCTAAGCCAGTGTTTGCTCCTAAAGAGGAAGAGAACATTGACATTGACCCAGAAATGTTCTAAAAATAAAATTTTATTTTTACATGTCATATCTCCCCTTCTCTGGAACTGGCTCAGGTTCTTTCTTCTCTTCTTCTACTTTCTTTTCTTTCTTTTCTCTCTTCTTCTTTTCTGGTGGAGTTATGTCAAACTTCTCAGAACCATATTTTTGTAAAAGTTCTTTGTCCTTTAATAGCTCTTCTATTCTGTTTTCTATTTCATCTTCAAGAACAGCGCATGTGTCTTCTTTGCATTCTAAGAAGTTTTGTTGGACTTCATCTCTCCAAGAGGCGTCATCTCTGTCAACAAGTCTGTCATTGACAAATTTTAAGACTTCTCTGCTTAATGTTTTATGGTTCTTGTCATATTCCCAGAAACAGAACTTTAGAACAAATTCACCTTTCTTGTTTACACTATGTAAGATTTTATGGTCGACAGATGTTTTGCTGTCGAAAAGCTTGTCTCGAATATAGATGGCGAAATCGCTAGACATTTTCAAAAAGATAAAAATTTTAATTTTTCTAAAAATATGTTAGAAAAAAAGTTTGCTGACATTGACAAGAAATTTGAGAATGTTTTAAATAAGAACAAGAGGAAGTTAGAAAATGCTCAGATAAAACCCATACATGACAAGTTCTTATTTGCTCAGAATGGTATAACAGGTCTAATTGCACCGCCTGGGTCGGGTAAGACTTTCACTTATCTTAAAATGGCTGCACAACAACAAGAACTAGATGAGAAGAACCCATTCTATGAGTTAGTTGTTATTTGTAGTACTTCTGGTCAATTTGACCAAACCGTAAATTCGTTCAAAGATATTATAAAGAAGTCTAAGTTAGTATGTATAAAAGACTCTGAGTTGTTAGATTGGATAAAGAAGTACCAAAGAAGAGTTTTGAAGTACAATGCTATAAATGAGTATGTCAATTCGAAGTTTAAAGACCCAAATGAGGAAATGCAGAGAATATTAGAGAAGAAACACTTCAGAAACAAACAGAAAGAGATAGAATACATTTCGAAGAAATTGCAATCTTACGATTGGAAGACTTACCCTCACAGATGTCTTCTTATCTTAGATGATTTCGCCTCTCATCCTTTGTTAAAGAACAGAGAACAAGATATGTGTCGAATTCTTAAGAAGCTCAGACACTTCAACATCTCTGTTGTCATTTGTGTACAGACAGCCAAGAGTTTAAGTAAGGATGTAAAGAGAATACTTACTGACATTGTACTTTTCCCCGGATTGTCCGAAGACGATTTCATGGAACTTATGAAAGAGTCCATGGCAGGTAAGTTTGACAGACATGAACTATGGGAGAAGTACAAAGTCATACAAGACCCTCATACTTCTTTCAGAATTCATATCTACGCGAACAAAGTTCAAATTGTAAAAAGTCAAGCGTAAAAAATGTAAGTGTTTAGTCTTAGTCTGTTGTGGTTCTGCAGCTTTCGGTTCTTCTGGCTTTGGAATGGACTCGGTTGGTGGTACGTCGGACATTCGTTTGTGTCCTGTCGGAAGGAAGGACTTTTCCTGTTGGAAGGAAGGACTTTTCCTGTTGGAAGGAAAAATTTTTCCTGTTGGAAGGAAGAGTTCTTCCTGTCGGAAGGAAAATTTTTTCCTGTTGGAAGGAAAATTTTTTCCTGTTGGAAGGAAAATTTTTTCCTGTTGGAAGGAAAATTTTTTCCTGAAGTTCGACCAAAAAGTTCTCAATTTTCGAAAATTTGAATGGTTTACGGACGGACAACTGGAAAAATTTTTCCTGTTGGAAGGAAAATTTTTTCCTGTTGGAAGGAAAATTTTTTCCTGTTGGAAGGAAAATTTTTTCCTGTCGGAAGGAAGAGTTCTTCCTGTCGGAAGGAAATTTTTTTCCTGTCGGAAGGAAGGACTCGGAATGTCAGAAGGATTTGACAAGACAATTTACCATCTAGAGCTACCTGAGCCATCTTTGGTGTCAAGCTTGAAAAATAAATGGTTCATCTACTCTACTTGTTTGAAGTTGTCAAAATACTCTGTTATTTTTTCTTTCAGTAGCGGCAAATCTTCTTTGAATGTAAGTATTGTACAACCTTTCATATCATAGTGTGTTTGAGGTAAAGTATCTTGAACTATTTGTTTCACATCTTCATTTGGTGTCATTGAAATCGGTAAGTTTTCGCGATAGAACCAATTTCTGTTAGATTTGTAAATCTTAGCAAGGTCGTAAAAGCTTTTGTTGTTTCTTCTGACTAAATGCAACATAACCATATCTCTGTCTTCTTCATTTTCCATCTCTTCAGTATAAATCATATACTTATAGTTCTTTTCCTTTCCTTTTGGTACCGAACGTGGTATTCTTTTCTGAATGTTTTTGTCTTTTGCTTCAAGCTTGTTCTCTAGCTCTTCACGTTCTTGTCTATGAATTTCGTCAAGAAGTCTGTAAATATACCAAGCATAACGAGGCGAAGCCCACATTGCAACAGCATTTACAAGAAGTCTATGTACATACCAGCCTCTCAAACCATTTGGCAATTTTTCACGATTTTCATAGAGTTTTGGCGACTGGGGTTTTTCTCCCACTCGCTGTTCTTCACTGTTTTCATGAGTTTTAGGCGACCCCGAAAAAAGTCTGTCTCGCTGTGCTTCATTTAATAGTTCAATAGTGCTTTGGTTCCTAAACCAGTCTTTAGGAAGCTTGGTATCTGGTGCAAAACATGCTGTCAAAATACTTTGCATTTGGTACATATCGTCTTTGACCGAACGAATGAGACGTAACTGTTTGTTATACTGTATGTACTCGTATTCTTCATTTATGGCTTCATGAACGATAGCAGTTGTTGTGTTCTCGGTTGTTGACATATCTGTCTTTACATACAAAATAAAAAAAATATTTTATAAAAAATTAGCGTTATTTTCTTACTTTCACAAAAGACCAAAAATAAACGCTTTACATGTATTTTTCAGCAACTTCGTCAAATAATTTTATAGCTTTACCTATCTCATCTACTTCAAACGTTTCTTTACCTTTCGTGGGAGCACCATACATTTTCTCAAACTTTTCAAGTAGTTCTGTTTCTGCAGCTCTCATATTGTTAACAAACACAACCTTAACTCTATTGACTATACTGTCATATCTTTGAGTTATATTATATGTTCTTCCTATCTTATATCTCTTTGTATTGAAGTCCTTCGGTTTCTGAACGATGTAAAGTAAGCCTTCACTGCAACGTTCCGTATCGAATGAACCATATGTTATGAAGTTATATCCAACAACTGGGTCTAACCATAACAAAACTATTGGTATAAGACTTTTGTCGATGAGATATGCTGCAGTTCCATAGAATCTTACCGATATCATCAGCTCAGGATTTCTTGTCAAAATATTCTGAGTAGAAGCATTTTTAACCCAGTCCTTTGCTTTCTTTCCAAATGGAGATAAAATGTCTGACAAAGAATATTTCTTGTATTTCTTTGAGTATCTTACGTTTAAATCACCAATTCTAACCACTTTGGTGTTATTGTCTATCTTTCTAACTGTTTCAAACTCAGTGTTTGTCATTTTCTGTCTTTACATACAAAATAAAAAATATTTTTTAAAAAAAACTAACGTTATTTTTTTATTTTGTATAAAAGATATGATTTCAGGGATTTTTTTGACGAAGTGCAAAAGTTCTCTTCGTAAAAATATAACAGTTATATAATGAAATTTGGTCATTTTTTTACTGTTTTCATGAGTTTTAGGCGACCCCGGAAAAAGTCGGGGTCGCAATTTTTCACGATTTTCATGAGTTTTAGGCGACTACGGTTTTTTCCCTACTCGCAATTTTTTACGATTTTCATGAGTTTTAGGCGAGTAAGATTTTCTATCTTGTATAAAAGATATGATTTCAGGGATTTTTTTTTACGAAGTGCAAAAGTTCTCTTCGTAAAAATATAACAGTTATATAATGAAATTTGGTCATTTTTTTTACGATTTTCGTACGGAATCTCTACCCTCGGTTTTCCGCGGGTAGCAAACCTATGAGGAAATTCATGAAATTTGGTCATTTTTTCACGATTTTCATACGGAATCTCGACCCTCGGTTTTCCTCGGGTCGCAAACATATGAGGAAATTCATGAAATTTGGTCATTTTTTCACGATTTCAGGGATTTTTTTTACGAAGTGCAAAAGTTCTCTTCGTAAAAATATAACAGTTATATAATGAAATTTGGTCATTTTTTCACGATTTCAGGGATTTTATGCAAGGCCGAGAATTCTCGGTCTAGAGAAATTTCACTGTTTTCGTACGGAATCTCGTTCCTCGTTTTTTCGAGGAACGCAAACATATGAGGAAATTCATGATTTTTGGTCATTTTTTTCAGCAAAAATATATTTTAGGTGGAACCAGGTCCCTCGGTCCCTCGGTCCCTCGGTCAACTAACATCTTTTTGAAAATGGTGACAACATGACATTTTGACAACAACACAGGAAATAAACTTCATCGTATATGTTTTGTCAAGACTTCATCGTCAATGAGCGTAAATCAGACAAAAATATATTTTAGGTGCTACCATGCTACCATGTGCTACCAGGTCAACTAACATCTTTTTGAAAATGGTGACAACATGACATTTTGACAACAGTCCAGGAAATAAACTTCATCGTATATGTTTTGTCATGATTTCATCGTATATGCTTTGTCACCTCTTGAATTTTCATGAGGGTCCCTCGGTCCCTCGGTCCCTCGGTTAAACGAACTTCTTTTGAAAATGGTGACAACATGACATTTTGACAACAGTCCAGGAAATAAACTTCATCGTATATGTTTTGTCAAGACTTCAGGGATTTTTTTGACGAAGTGCAAAAGTTCTCTTCGTCAAAAAAATACAGTTATATAATGAAATTTGGTCATTTTACTCAGCAAAAATATATTTCTACCATAAAGTTTTATAAGCGTTTTACATGGTATATGTTGTGATGGTTCATGACTTTAAACAGTTTTGTAGCTTCTATTTCTTCTTTTAGTATGTCAAAAGTTTTCACAATGCCGAAAGTTTCTTTATATTTCTTCTTGACATCTGAAAGAAGGAAATCGTCAGCTGTTGGATAGTTTTTGTTCAGAAATGTCAACATGTCCATTTTATCTTCTGCTGGTTTCTCTACTTCTTTCTTTAAGTCAGCATAGTCGTTTCGCATACGTTCTATCTCTTTGACGGAGTAGTTATATTTCCTTGTTGCTGCTTTACATTTTGAACATTGTGGGTTCATTTTAGCATTGTACATTGAAATTTGTCCTGCAAGTATGACTAAGGCGTAAATGGTTTTCTTTAACTCAAAGGCTGCTGGTTTTATTTGTCCGTTCCATACTTTACCTCTTCTATCTTTATCTCTTATCTGCCATACACATTTTGCAACTAACGAAACAAAGTTGTCGTAGGTCTTAAACTCCTCCGATTTATATATGTCAATGAAATATACCATATCGCAGTCTTTGTGGTTGCAATGAAATCCAAGAAACTCATAGTTACTCTTACGTATGAACTTCTTTATTTCTACTGAGTCAGTTGGTCTGACTTCAATTTCATCGAATTCTGGAATTGTAAGCTTTTGTTGTTGTATTTCAGGAAGTTTAGGTAGATGGTCAATAATATCCTGCATTTCATAAAGATACTGTTCATTTGTTTCATCTTTTGCAGTGCAATCTAAATCTCCTTGGAGAAGTTCCTGCTTTATCTTCTGGATTTCTGTTTCGAAAGTATATGAAGAAGGAATGAAGCTTTTCATCTCTACTAACATTGAAGTTGGGTTCATGACTAACGAGTTTGGTGCTGTTGTTGCTAACATGTTCTTACAATAAAAATAAAAACTAACTTTATTTTTTATTTCGGGAAAATTCAAGAGTTTTGGTTGAAAAATACGGTGAGCCAAAAGTGGCTCGACCTCAAAACAAGCATTTTGTGAAGAATATACCAACCGCCGGAATTCCGCGGGTTGCTTTTATACAAAATTCAACGGGTGAAAAAACAGTATAAGACTAGTTCTGAGATCTCACCACTTCACCTAAAATATATTTTTGCCGAATTCAATAAAAAGAAATGGTTCATTTACTCACAATATTTTTGTACAAAACGACCCCAAACTTTTAACCTCTCTTCTGCAGCTTCAAATGCTATCTTAGCGAGTTCATATTCTCTAAATTCTCTCTTTAAATCTTCTTGTTCCCATTGGTCTAGTTCGTATGGAGAATCTCTATAACCAGAACATATCTCACGTTCATGTTCTATTTGTTTTTCGCACATTTTTCTAACTTCTTGTTCGAACAAAGGTTTAGCATTCTCTACTGTATCTTCAAGTTCTTCTTCATCTAATTTCTCATGAACTTTCTTGTCTATGGAGTCCATAATTTTTCCAACTGCTATGCAATATTTTGGAGAAGCCCACATTGCTATATAGTTTACAAGTCTTGGGTCTACATACGTTCCTCTAACCTGTTTGATTTCATCCGGAATTCCTGCATGAATTTTGTATAAAAAGCAACCCGCGGAATTCCGCGGGTTGGTATATTCTTCACAAAATGCCTTAAAATACTCTTCCCAGGACTTATTTTCCAACAACCTTCTAAAGTCTTTCCTAAACTGCTGACACATATTTGTTGCATTTATATAACCATCCTTGTCTCTACGTAAGACTTCAATACCGTTGTAAGTGCCTTTTGTGAATGTTTCGCCATTAGATTTGTTCGTGAACGTTTTTGCTTCGACTGTCATTTCAGTTCTTACAATAAAAATAAAAAATATTTTTGGGTGGTACGTCGGACATTCGTTTGTGGCTTAACCGTCGGACATTCGTTTGTGGCTTAACCGTCGGACATTGTCTTGAAACAGTACAAGTCTTGTTCTGAGATCTCACCATCTAACCTAAAATATATTTTTGCCGAAAAAAATGAGTTTTGGTTGAAAAATACGGTGGAGCCAAAAATGGCTCGACCTCAAAACAAGCATTTTGTGAAGAATATACCAACCGCCGGAATTCCGGCGGTTGCTTTTTATACAAAATTCAACGGGTGAAAGAATACGATGAAGTCATGACAAAACATTTACGATGAAATCATGACAAAACATATACGAAGAAGTTTATTTCTTGGACTGTTGTCTAAATGTCATGTTGTCACACTTTTTCAGAGAAGTTCGTTTAACCGAGGGACCGAGGGACCGAGGGACCTGGCTCCACCTAAAATATATTTTTCAATACTTTTTCAGCACTTTTCCGTAGTTGTATATGAAAGACAATTCGAGATAAAAGTCATAGTACAATGGTATAATATGTTGCACACCATTTGTTGTGAACCAAACTTGAAAGTCAGAGAAACTGTTACTAGGTGGTTCGTAGAATTTAGAAGCAAAGTCATAAAAGTCCTTACCGATACATAGAAAACCATTGTTGCTTGAACTGAAACTTGCATGACACATAACATTTTGAGGGTCAAACACGTTTCTATAAACTGTCAAATCTGCTGGTGGAAGTATAAATTTAAATGGACCATCTGGTGGTAATGGTTCGTTCTGGTTTAGTAACCGAAGAAATTGTGCCCAAGAACGTTTGTAGGGTTGTTAGATTCCCGACGATAGGTGTCTTGGAAGATTTGCCTGGTGTCATCATAGTGTCTTTAAATCAAAAATTTTATTTTGGAGTTAGTTTTATTGATTTTTCAATAAAAAACATTTTTAAAACAAGAAAATAAAACGATAAAATATTTATATTTTATATAAGGATCTTATATATTTAAAATAAATATCATTTTATTTTTTTCATTGGTGTCTGTCAAACCATAATACACTATTCAAAAATTCAATGTGTCTTGCGGTTTCAAAAGACACC